CTCATCAAGGTTTTATAGAATGGCTTTCATCTGTTTAATCGAAAAATATTTACATTTCTCTTATCTAGTTTGTTTTTATTTTCTCGATATGGTATTTGTGTTTGTTAAACAATTTTATCAATGAATGAATTTTTATCGTAGCAATGAATGATGGTACTTTATGAATGGGTGTCCGGTGAGTACGGTCCTAAACTAGCAACAGAGAGGGCACTATAAGCTCTTCCAAACACGTGTTATTTCGGCGCCGAACTCAAGGAGCACACGATATTTCAGTCTGGAAGCCGTCGGCGGGATATCGATCCAATTCTTCCAACTTCGGTTTGTTGGTTTGCTTTTCCTAAAGGGCCACTGACCATTTTATCAGGGAAAAACAGGATAAGGTCATTACCTTACTATTAAGATTTATCATCATTCTTTAAATAATGAATCGATACTTACCGATTCATGCAATACTTTGCTTACCTAGTATAGGTAGGAAAGTAATAAGTTAAAAAAATGAGTAAAAAATAGAATAAGCTGTATCATCGCTAATACTGGTTCGATTCCGATGATTTTTTTTTTTTTTTTTGTTTTGTTGGTAATTTAATAACCTTTCAAAAGTTTTACTATAAATTTGACCGTATAATATATACTTAAGGAGTTAGGCCCCATAACATTTCTCTTTTCTTTATAACTTTTTTTCATGAATTTTTCCGAGAATTTAGTCTACATACGAAAATTGAAAGAACAACGATCAGAACATTATAGGAAAGTTTCATCAAAATCGTTAGAACCGTTTTCGCGCTACAGTCTATAGAAAAACATGTCTTTCATTTATTGCGCATGGAGCAACGAATTTCTGTCCCAGGCATCAGTAGTCAAAACCCTACAAAATAAAAAAAGAAGCAACAAAATCGGTTCAGTAGTTCCCGAGAAAATCTTGGCACAGACAGACAGACCAATGGCTAAAAATGTGTTTTTCGGACTCAGGGGGCTCTGAAACTTATAGATCCGTCGAAAACCGCATGTCGGAAATTTGACCCGATTGCAATACTACTGAATTATCGATAATTGATTTTTTGAGGCTGAAGTCTCTCCTCCCAAAATGATAAAAGTATAACCATATTTTATGGAAAAAAATATTAAAAAATTATCTCTTAAAGTATTATTGTTCCTGTAATTACATTTAAAAGAACTTAAACACCATTTCATAAAGGTAGTTAGTTTATTTTTTTTTTCAAAGTAATTACCGATATTTTAATGAAAAAAAAAGCTTTCAGTCTGAAGCTCCCCCCCCAAAAAATTAAATCCTGGACCCTCTAGTGCCAAGACGATGGAATCGGTGCAATTTTGAAGGAAAAACTTCACATATTTCGTCAACCATTCGATTAGAAAAAATATTAAAAAGGGGGAAAATCCTCTATTCTTATTGGCACCACGTTTACTTTAACTTCTCTTAGAAACGTCACCAGAAATATTTAGATACATTAGTCAGTGGTACAAACTCCTTTTCATCAAATTATTAACATCCGATTTAAGCTTCGTGAATAGTTTCATCTCATCGTAACCAACAAATATTTTATTTACGAAAATTCTCGGAATTGTGGCGTTTTCAATCTAGAGATCAGCAAACTTTGTCTATTTAATTAGGTACTAAAAACTCGCAAGTACCCATATTTTCCACTTAAACCGTAATATAACTTGAGCACAAAGTCGAGAAAAAATGTGGCCTTCAAAAATATTGAGCCGTTTGGCGTGACCTAAATCCCCAACTTTTCAAAATAACGAGGTTATATAAGCCAAAGGGCTCAATGTTTTCGAAGCTCACCTTTTTTCTCGACTTTGTGCTCAAGTTATCTTACGATTAAAGAGGAAAGCAAATGGGTATTTACGAGTTTTTAATACCTAATTAAATAGACAAAGTTTGCCAACCTACAGATTGAAAACGCCTCAATTACGAGAATTTTCATAAATGAAAAAATTGTAGGTTACGATGAGATGAAGCTATTGACGAAGTTTCAGCACGGTGTTAATAATTTGATAAAAAGAGGTCTGTATCATGGACTAAATGTTAAGATTCGGTAAGAACACCTATCTGTTAAAATATATTTTTTTCTCCACGCTTGCGCAACTGAGCTCATTTCGACAATAAATTTTTAGACCCCTAATTGGTTTTTTAAACAATAACAACTTTTAATCCAGCCACTTGAAATAAGACAGTAAAAGATCAAAACCTTCATATTTTCTCCGCTGTTCATTAAATCACAGTTTTTTAGAATTGTATAAGTAAACACTTGAAAAGGTATACATTAGCTTACTGGCAACGCAAGACAATGCTTTTGGTTTCGAGATGTATATTTTTCTGACATTTGAAAACCTAATTAAAACAGAATATCTTCTTCGTTGTCGAAAAACACCTACCAAAAACCGGAGGAAAAATTTGTTAGAAACTTTGTTAGCGTATCACTCGTATATGACAAATTGGAAGGTTTTTAAATTCCGTACAAATATATAGATATAAACAAAACTTATTTTGCTTATGTTAATGATTATGACTTTCAATAATTAAGCATTGTTTGAGCATTTCCATTTTTTCGCTGACCTATTTACTGTGCGAATTATTCCCATGAACCAAATAACAGCATTATGTGTTCCTCAGCCTTTATTATCAAGTTTCGGGACATACAAAACGAGCTGAGTAATATATAATATATAACAGGGAAATAACAAGCATTTTTAAACTTTTCTACGTATCATTTCTCCATCCGATGTAATGTTTTAATGATATTCGCTAAATATTCTAAATGACATTCGCTTTTGACAATCAGTTTCGATTTATTTGTAATTCTTTCTAGACTTAAATCTTCGTAAGAAATCTACCAGCTTAAATTTATAGAATCAATTTAATAGTTTCTGCAGAGGGATTTCATTACATTAATTATCTGGCCTTTTATGATTACAATTATCTAACTATTAAGTAAAGCAAATTTTAGTTCCACATTTAATAAGCATATAATAATAAAATTTAATACAGTTAAATTATAATTTTAAAATATAAATGTGAATAAAACTTCATTATTATCGAATTGAATAGAACATTATTTTGCTGGCATTCATAGTAACCTTCTTTTTCTTTATTCTTTTTTTTTTTTATTCATTATTATCGCGTTAAGACGCCATAGTCGGCAAACGATGTTTTAAATAGCAAGTTATTTACTAATCTCTTATCCTTCTACAAAAACATTTTCTTGTTCTTAATTCCAATATTGAGTTTATTTATAACTTTTGTGGTGTAGGGGAATAGAAGACGCAATACGTGTTTAATAGTCCATAACGCCACATCTGGAGTATAGGGGCTTCCAGAGCATTTGAACATTTTCAAGAGATTTGTTTTTCATTAAATTCGCAAACTAAACTCGAAATTCATTTTTTTAAAAATAGATAAGTCTGAATAAAAAAAAATAGGGAAATAGGAGAGATTCTATTTCCATGTAAATCACGGGCGGATCTACGAGGGGGGGGAGGTTCTGGCTGAAGCCTCCCCCAAAATGGTAAAATATAACCATGTTTTATGGAAAAAAAATTTAAAAATACCTCTTAAAGTATTATTGTTCATTTCATATATGTAGTTAATTTCTTTCTCTTTTTCCAAAGTAATTATCCTTATTTTTATGAAAAAAAAAGCTTTCGGGCTGAAGCTCCCCCCCCCCCAAAATTAAATCCTGGATCCCCTAGTGATGTAAATTAACATCCTCCAACGTTTTTGAAATGTATTTCAACCAAACTCGATGAATAAATAAATATTGAATCTGTTCTAGATGGAAAACATTGTTAAATATTCTGATTGATCGGATAAACCACAGAATTGTAAATATTTTAAAGTAAAGTTTGAAAGGATAAAGCTTAAGAAATTTTTCTCCTTCGGTAATTTTTTTATAATTTTAATTTCAAATCAATAATAAACATTTGATCGCAAAATAATTTGTAAAATTAATCTTTTATAGCAGGGGCTATAAACAATATTTTATAACCACTAGACCAGCAGAAAATAAACAATGATCAAAACAGTTCCAAAAATAGTAATCTAGTAGCTAAACAATTACAAAATAAATATGCTAAAGAAAATAAATTATAATAATAAATAACAGATAATAAATTACAAATTTTTATGTCTATCACCACGATCTCTGAAAAAAATGTATTACTTAAATTAGAAATATTTTTAATAAAAATTTAATAAATTAATATTATTTTAGCTCTTTTAATGTAATAAATTGTACACTTGTGGAAAATAAATTTATCTATGAATATCCATTAATGAGAATATGAATTTAATGAAAAATCAAAAGAATAAAAAATAATAATATATATTAAAAAATAAAAAATACAAAGAAATTAGAATGAGAATGCATATAAGCAAACTCCTCCAAAGAAACTATTTTTAGTTTATTTGCAACTAGGAACAGCAACCATCCATTTTGTTGACATGGATTTCAAAACAAATTAATCTTAAAAATGTTCCAGCAACAGTTAAAAACAAAGAATATTTAACTAATTCATAAATTATTTTTGTTTACTAAATTAAGTATTTTATCAGAAGACAAATAATAATAAAACAAACATTAAAAAACAATTAATTATATCTGAAAATACGATGACACATTAATGACAGATATAATAAATCATTTGTTTTTAACAAATAGAAGAAGCACAATTATCTAAATAGCAATAAATAGTAATATATTATAATAAAAGAATATATTTCACCTAATTCATTGAAAGAAATATACAACTAAAAATTAAAAATTAAGTTTTCAAAAATTATATATTTTTTAAGTTACATACCCTGGATATCCGAAGAGGGTGACCTGCATCAGCACCTCCGTTCATGCGAAAACCCCATGGCGGATTTCCTTCTAAAAAAATTTCCTTCACAGACATTTTCTTTTCAGCGTTTCAGGTACTTCGTTGTCTATGTATAAAGTCTCATTAATCACATATCAGTCCTTTTAAGTGGTTTGATGTCTATGGTAACTCGTTCGTTTGATCCCCTACAACATAATTCTCATGTAGGGGAGCACAATTCAAATAAATAGCCAAGCAGGACGCAATAATAAACATGGTATCATCTCTAAGATCAGTGTTAAAAATATATTTCACAAGAAAAGCAAAAATAGAAAACAATTTTTCAGCATATGATCTCATGAAAACAGAAACAAGCCAAATGCAGCAGCCAACATTCGCATTAATTTTTCAAAATAATCATCCATATATTAATCACAAAATGTTGTTTTTATTTTAAATTCATTTTTTTATTTAATTTTATCTAAAATAATTTGATAATTATAATTGGTTTTAATGAAGAATAAACAAATTTCTTGTCAACACTGAATGAAAAATTTTAGCAATAATATATTCACAAATTATTTTCTTATTTATTTTTTTTTAAATACTAAGAAAAATATAATTTTTTTTCACTTACAGTTTTCATTTTTTTTTTTAGTGTTATAACACAGGGATTCAAACAATTTCAAAACCGCAACCACTTTTCAAAAAAGTCCACATGTGCAAAAAAAAAAAAAAAAAAAACTAACACATTTACTCACTTGCCTCAGCTCTATTCACAATTAATTATTATTATATTATTATTTTTTATTTTTTTATTTATTGGACACTGAAAGAAAAAACTAAATAAACAATTTTTGATATGTTGAGAGTCAAAAAGCCAAGACACGTTGGTCGAGTGAGGAGGCTCAAGCTAAAATAGAACTATGCTTCAAGTGGTCAGTTTAGACCTTATCTCTGATACTATTAGGCCCCCCCTCCCAACTAAATTGTCAATTAAAACCGGGTAAATTGGGGAAGTGGCCATATTACCCCTAAAGTATACAAGTGAAAAATTATCTCTATAAAAGAGACATCACTACATCCTCAAATATAGAACAGATCAAATCAAATTATTAAAAAAACTGCTGTACATCTCAATTTAAATTTTAATAATTAATCACCAATATTTAAAAATATACATATATATAAAGATCAATATAATCATTATATAAAATAACAAAAAAAAAAAAATTGAATACTTCACAATCTTAAAAGCACTATATAACTGAAAGTATAATCTAGAATAATCAATCATTAAATATGCATAGCACGTATTGGCTGCTGATACAAATTTTAATGAGTACCTGACCTAAATGCAAAATATTAATCTGATCAACCTAAATTTAGGAAATAATTATAAATTTTTATTCCAATCGTTAATTAATTAAATTTTATTTACTTATTTTAATATTAATATCAAAGGAGGTAAATAAGCAATTAGGAATGAATACTATCAATAATAATGATAAAATTCTCTTATAACATGAGATAATCCTTATGAATTCAACTTTAAAAAAATACCTAGTGAATTCATACATTTAACATAATAAACAAAACTGTGAAACAAGTATATTTCATATAATATTCATTAGCCAAGGTCAAAGAAATCAGGGTCACAGATGCCATTTCATAATATTTACTTCAGTTTCCATTTCATTACTCAAATGAAAATGTCACTTAAATTTTCAAAAAAATATTTTAAACTGATAATTTAAGAATATAGTTTTTAACAAGTAGATATTTGTATTACCTTTAAAACAAACAAAAAATTATATATTTTTATTATTCTGTAAAATAAATGTTTTATCATTTATTTCTGGAATGTTAATAGATAAAAATGAATACTTGGTGATAAACTAGTCTAATTTATATGTGCTTTTAAAAATCTAAAAGTATCGTTTTAAAATATACTCTGAAAACATAAAATACCTTTATTTAAACATAATATCCAACATTCTGGGGATTAATTCAACAGTCTCAGCCAATACCATATACAAAATGTACAAGCGACATTTTCTTAGCGAACATAGTTAAAAACCGAATCCGAAAAAAAAATTCATTTTGAAAATTAATGCGAAAACAATTAAAAGGATTATAGATCACAATTCAAGTAAACAGCATCATTCAGCTGACTATTTGAATCAAATCTTTGCTACCTAGATTGTTAAAAATAGTTCATAATTTGTTTAAACTTTCCTTTACGTCGTTTAAAGAAAGTGAAAAGTTTGTAAAAGTTTTAAAAACCGTCTTTTAACACGACTTACTCGGTACAACTCAAGTCGCCGTTACAAGTTTGATAATTTTACTACAAAGGTTATGACTGGCTCTGATAACCAACAACCTGGTGGCGCCACCTTTTGGGGGGAATATTGAACTACATATATTAAGAGAGTAAAAAAATGTCTTAATTAAACATTAAGATATCAAAGATACATTTTAAGATTAAACATAATATATGTTAAATAAAAAATATTAAAATTCAAGAATTTACTTAAAAGGAAGTCTCATTTTAAAAATTATTAGAACTCTGCATATGCTAATAATTTATTACTCGTAAAAGATATATGAGTTTAATTTACATTTATTATTCAACTAGTTGGCCATTCGCAGAAAATTTTGTTTAGTGAAGAAATAGTAAAACAATATAGAAATAAGTAGCTCCTATGTATTATGTAAGGAAGGAATTAATATTTATTCCATTAAACATAATAGACCAAAATATTTATACAAATTGCTTTGCTAGGACCTATTTCTAAACGCTGACTGGAAAGATAATAAAAGTAATAAAAACAAAATAATGCCCCGATCATAGGATATTCTAAATTATTAAAAAAAATAAAATGTAAGAACAACCAAATGTCTTTAAGAAATAATACAGTTAATATATCAGCCAGGAAAAAAAGTGTAGTAGACTATTCTACTCCAAAATGCGATATCATTAAAGATGAAGACATTATTAAGTATACTGAATTCTATATTATTAAAAAAAATAAAGTGTAAGAACAAACAAATGCCTTTGAGAAATAATAAAGTTAATACATCAGCCAGGAAAAAAAGTGTAGTAGACTATTCCACTCCTAAATGTAATATCTTCATTATTAAGAAAGACATTATTAAGTATACCAAAACTAATGGACTGTATCTTTGTTAATAATAGTCCGAATTTTACGATTTTTTATTTGTTTTGTAGGTAATTTAGTAATCTTTCTAATTATTATGGGTACAATCCAGAAAAAAATGCATACTTTTTGAGTTATTCACAAATAAAGTTTCTTTTCCTCCATAACTTTGTTTCCAGAAATCGCGGGGGAGATGGGACTATTTTTCGCATGTGAAGGAGAAGAATATCTTCAAAATGAGTGGTCAATCATTGGATTTGATGAGGAATTGACGAAGTTATGGTGTACCGATAAAAAAATTCGTTTTAGAAATAATATATAGAATTAAAGTTACATATCTTCAGATCTTTATGTTTAATAATAACAAGAAACCATATCATTGCTCAGCCTATATTACAAAAAAACAGGAAATTTTCTGAGCTTATAGATATACAGTGGATCAAAAAAGTATTGGCACACTTCAATTTTTCTGCAATTCTCAAGAGGATTAAGCTATTTTCCAGAAGAAATATTTATATAACAAAGTGGCCTTTTATAATTATATTTTAGAAGCAATGAATGTTAGAATTCATAAGCTATGTTTAAAGTAAACATATTGAGAGTCAAAAAAGTATTGCCGCAGTTTTAAATGTTTACAATTAGCACTGTACAAAATAAATTAATCCTTTTTGTGTTGGCAATAAAAACTTTCAAATATATGCATTAATATGATAAGTATTGTAACTTACATTCGTTTTTAACGAAGCTCTTTTCTAGCTATTAATTGCTTATGAAAGATGGGAATAAAGCTTTGATGATGGGAATAATTTTAGCAAATTAACTATTTGTTATATATTTGGAAGTTTTTTTATTGCCAACACAAAGAAAATTAAACAGCTTCCTAGCAAGAAAAGAAGAATTCAAATGAATCCTTTTTTTCAAGATATTAGAAACAAATATTTTAATACAATAGAGACCGATCTGGCTCAGCAATTTGGCCGTTAGTGACTCGAAGGAGATGCAGTTCATGATAATGTAATCAGCAGTCTCTGGGATCCCACAGGTACAGTGGATCAAAAAAGTATTGGCTCACTCCAATTTTTTTTCTAAATCTCAATAAGATTAAGATATTTTCCAAAAATAATATTTATATAACAAAGTGGTCTCTAAGAATTATATTTTAGAAGCAATGAATGTTTGGAATTCAAAAGCTATGTTTAAGAAAAACATAAAGAGTAAATTTTGAGATTTCAAAAAAGTATTGGCACAGTTTTGGATGTTTACTATTAGCTACAATAAAAAAAATTAATAGTTTTTCTTTCAAGGAATTAGAAATGAGGATTGATGATAGTACAATGAGAATAATAAAAATGAGTCTTTGCTATATATTTGCCATAACAAGATGGGTAAAGTCAGTAAATATTGTGCCAGTTTAAAAACCACATCATAAAATTATATTCTTATACACTTAGCTACCAATAAATAGCAAATAAATCATAAATAGGTTTTAGTAATATTCATAATATCATACAAAAGTTTAAAACAAACTCTGTTCAGAAAGGCAATCAAAATTTAATGAGATAGCACAAAGGAATATCCATCAAGCTGCTGAGCAACAACCACTAAGATAGTAAAAGAGGTCGCATTGTTTCAAATATCACCTTCTGTTTATTATGTCTAGTTCCAAAGAAAAATACCATTTATTACAGACATGAGCAGCAAAAAATAAAAATAATTTGAGTTTGTCAAAACATATGTAAATAAAGATCTAGAATTCTGGAAAAATGTTGTTTTTTTAGATGAAAGTAAGTGTAACATATTCAATTCTGATGGCCACAAGTACGTTTGGCGGAAACCTGATACTGAGTTTCAAGCTCCTCATGTTAGGGCCACAACAAGAATTCGGGATGAAAGTGTCCAAGTTTGGGAGGTGAGGGTGGTGGCATGCCATGGAATGGTGTTGGAAACTTAGCCTTTATTGACAATATTATGAATGCCGAACAATATGTCGCCATTTTGCAACATATTTTAACAAGTAGAGCTGAAAATCTGAGAATCAAAGTTGCATTTATCTTCCGACAAGGTGCTGATGCCAAGCACACAGAAAATAAATCAATAGATTGGATGCTGAAAAATGTTACCAGCCAATTGAAAATGCCACCAGAGTCTCCGGGCATGAATACCATAGAACATCTATATTACCTGTTGGATTGGAAAGTAAAATATCTTTTAAAAAATCATTTAAAAGAAACTTTATCAGAGGAATGGTGTAAAGTTGAACAAGAATTAATTCAAAATCTTGTTTCATCGATGCCAAGGAGATTCCACAATTTTATTGACAAAAAACAAATGAAGTACAACTTTAAAAAATATATATATGCTCAATATGAATTTAATTTAAGTACAGATTTGTCCAAAGAAGTTTAATAGCAGTTAAGAATAAAAAGCAACAACAGATATAAACCTTATTTAGTTTTTCATTACAGGATTTTTTTAAATATTTATTTTTATTTTATTAAAATATTTAATATTTATTAAAACCCCAATGAAAAATATTAATTTTATTTTGTTCCATTTGCATTGAGTGGATTATTCTGATACGAAACAATAAAACATGGTAAAATAAATGAATGAATATTAATTATCTTATTTCTATTTTCGGTAAAATGGTTTTTACTTATTTTTCCTAATTT